AAAGTTGACAAAAACTTTCTTGTCGAATGGGGAGAGGTTCAGGAGTTTACCAACCCTCATTATCCAAACACAGCTGAGGCCAACAGGATCAATGATCTCTACGATGATACCTTTGTCCGTCATTTCCGACAGGTGTTAAAGAAGAAAGAAAAACAGACCACCTTGGTCATGTTTTTCAAGAAGCCAGCGGGCAAAAAACAAAGGATGGAACAAGAGAAGTTGACCCTGCAAGTTCCGGTAGCCTCTCCCGAATCTGACTCCAATTAAAAAACTATAAAAAAGACCCGCTGCAATGTGTAAAAAGTCTGTATCTGTATGAATGTGTAAAGAAAGTGTTCTTCCACCTCCTTCTCACAACATCTGACTACCCGGTGTCTGCTCCATTTTCATTTTTTATGGTACAGTACGGTTATCTTATGCTGCAGAACGAATTATATGTTTTAACATGTATTTCTATGGGAAAATGTGTTTCGTATAACGGACGTTTCACTTAACGGACGTGCACCTGGAACGGATTAAGTACGTTGTACGAGGCGCCACTGTATATTATATTATAGAGGGTACAACTTATAATTATTTTCGTCTTAGGGCTACTCGATGAAAAAAGTTTGGAGATCACTGCTCTAGATAAAACAGTTTTCTAACACCAATTACGTTATTATGACATCAAAGTGTATCCAGTGAAACGAGAATAAGTTGTATGACATACTTTACAAAAATAAATGAAAATATACCTAAAAATATTTAGGGTAAGTTGTCCGCAGTGCGGACCACTTACCCTAAATATTCCTGATCTAAACACTTACTTGTTAGTAAAATAAATACTGTATAACATGTCGAACATTTTAAAAATAAATTACTTTAGAGAGATGATTGTTTAAGAATAATCGTTTTTAAAAACATTTAATTTTATGTTTAATTAATAATATAGAAATCCAAATAATTTCAATTGAATAATTAATGTTTTTTATGATTATAAAAATAAATGAATTAAAAAAATTGACTCACCCAAATATTTTACCGTGATTTTTGTAAGTGGAAAGAACAATCTCGTGAATTGGCTGAAAAACATTTATGTATGAGTTTATATAAAGATATTAAACGATAGAAAATATATTTGTTTTACATACAAGAAAGTAATTACAATACTTATTTTTAGCGAGTACTTAAAATTGACATCACAGAAATTCTTAAGGAGAATGATAAATCAATATGTTGTGATAATTCTGTTTAATTTGACAGTAGGTAGCAAGTTATTTAAAACTAAAAGCAGTAATTAAATTTAAAATTATAAAATAATGATTAGGCTAAAACTCTGGCCTCCACACAGAAACTGACACTAAAACTAAATTTAAAAATAGAATCAAAATTAATTAATTAACTAAAATTAAAATCAAATCAATAGAAACATAATATTGTGTGGATGTGTGTGGATAAAGTACTTGTCCGTCTTGATTAATTTGATTATATTTTATCCAGCAGAATTGAGTCTCTATTTATAGCACTTCTTTTGAAAGTGCTATAATTTCGAAAGTTTCCGTTTCGGTTTGCGTTTACTGAACATTTTTGCTTTTAAATTAATATATATATATATATTTACCTTTCTGAAAGCTGCAATCGTTCCTGTTAAAAATTGAAGCTTTGTTTGTGATTCAACTCCTTGTTCTTTCCAGTAACTAAATTTTTTTTTCACGTAACTATAATAAATAACATAAATAAGACAGTTCATTATGTAAAATTAAATGTAAATCTAAATAAGACATATGTTATTATATATATTGCTTATGTTATTATGCAATTTGCATAATTTTATATAAGTAAATATGCAGTTTATTTACATTCCAGATAAAAATATTTTTCAGAGAGATATGCTTTTGTATTCCTTTTAATAATGTCTTCATTACTTTACTTAATGAATAAAAAAGCAATAGATTGGTTTGATATTGTTCATAATTGTAATGCCTTTTTAAAATGACACAATTCCTTTTAAAATTAGTCCTAAAATATCATTACTAAATAGTAGGATATTTTTAAAGAAAAGAGATATCATTCTACTATATTTAAATCTGTTTTCAACGAGTTAACAATTAGAAGTCTTATTTAACCTTATATAAATTGAATATTTTTTATCTACTAGATAACTATGTTTATTATTTTATGTTTATTAATTTCTCAATTTTAATCCGTTTCCGATTCTATTTCCTAAAAATTAGCTTTTTAGTATTTTCAATTCATTTCCGGTTCAATTCAATTACTAACACATAACAATAAGAAGGAAAAGAACTGAATTACTGAAGAAAGTGCAAGAAAGGTCGGTGCTGTATAAATAAAATATTTAAAATTTTTAAGTGAATATTATTNTGTCATCGAAAAGAAAACGTGTTGTATTATCATTAAAAGACAAATTAAAGTATTTGTTTCGATTATCCGAATTTTTCTTTATTCAGACTACCTTCATTTCAAATTAGTCCGGATAATCGAGGTTCTACTGTATTAGGAAAATTAAGATGAAGAGTGTAAAACTATGGTATAATAAAAATTTAACGTTGTTTCGATAAAACTGTTGCAGACTCATATACTGGAATATTAACTTATTTACTAAAAATTTACAATTAAATTTTAAAATTGAGATAGTAATTGCTTGTTCGAGAATATGGATTGTATAAATAATGATAAAAATATGGTTCAATGGTATCTTATGAATCTTCGTACTTTTCGTTTCTCGTCGTTCCTTACCATTCCATTATGGATCAGGTTCATTTATAGTAGATGCAGGTTACACAAAAAATTGTATTTAGCTCAATATGTAGTAAGGTCAAAATTCAATCCAACTCGTTACAGTACTTTTATTTTAATGTTTCTCAATTGCCTCAGAGATTTTTATAATATGAAAAATAGCCGCAGAAATGCTGACGTCTCAACTGCATGGCCAAACTCTTAGGAATCCGGATCGAATCTATTGAGCAGAAATCTGGTTGAATCCACGATTGTCATATAATAAGTTATCTTGATGACCTCAAGCGGAAAGAGTCAAAAAATAAAATTATATATATATCGAAAATGCATCCATTTATATATATATATGGATGTAATAAGGTGCATTGCAAAAATATAAGGCCACCCTAACTTTTTGGAATAATAAATTTTTATCACACTTAAACAAAAAGCATAATTTTTTTACATCTACATTTATTTCTGCCATTAGTTATTGACAAGACTGTGCCTTGTTTATAAAATCGTACTGCCGTTCTATGTTACTAACATAGAGGTATGAAGGAGTATATGTCGAGAGTTGATATTCGTCACAGAGTATTAGGTGCCCAAATCATTTGCGCATAAAAAATCCAGACTCGTAAGTAGTCAGGGGACCGAGAATCGAGTCAAAATAAAATACAAAATGGCGATCCTCTTCTACAAACAGGCAAAACGGCCACCTCACTTCACCGAAGTCAGGTGGGGAGAGTACCACCCACAGTCATTCTAAGAAGTGAACTCTGACCTTAGGACCGAACACGTAGTTTCTTCTATGTTAAATAAAATTTGTAATCTAATTTTGTAAATTTGGGAGTGCTTCAAATATGACGTTAAAACAGTTTTATGTCGTTACAAGTGGGGGGTTTTTATTAACATTATCTAGTATAGTAAAATCGTGGGACCGATAAAAATTTGACGTTATATTAGGGTTGTATATCCGATCACGTTATAATCGGGTTAAATTGTATATTGTTTGTGCAAAATAAAAAAAAAAATAATTTCGGACGATACAATAGACACGGTTATTTTTTCAAAAACGGGAAATTTTCGTTACGCATCGACAAAAATTCAATCCAGGCCGACACGCATCAAAGAGAAAATTCGAAATTGGATAGGTTAATTTCATCGAAAATGCATCATGGACGACCTCGTGATCGTGGCCGGCGAAGTTTGAACAATCGCGCCCAAAAGTAGCGATACCAAAGAAGATTGGAGAATGAGAACGAGACCCTCCTTGAGCGTTGAAGTGATTCCGCTTAGTAGTGAGTCTCCGAGACATAGTCTTGTCCCAATTACGGTTTTGCCGTTTTACTTATTTAAAATTAAAAATATAAATTTTTTATTCAAAAAATCAAAAATAATGGTGTTGCAAAAATATAAGACCAGTGCCATTTAATGCAGGGTGAGACCACATTTTTAACACACTAACCTTGTAAACTCTATCTTTCATAGAGTTAACAAGATGTAGCAACACATTTAAATTAATTTCGTTCAATACAATTACACTTACAGATTTAAGTTGTTCGATACTGTGGTATTTTCCTCCTGCATACTTGTCCCTAATTATTAGATTCCATAGGTTTTCTATGGGATCCAAATGATGGGAATAGAGAAGTCAATCCATGACCTGAATGCCAGTAACCATTGATAATGCACCAATTCACAATGCAAACTTCACTTATCTTGTTGCAATACTAGAATGGGCCACCAACTTTGTCTCCAAATGGCAGAAGATATACATTCTTAACGTTTTGTTACCCAACTGCCTTCCTTCAACCATTTATAAATGTTAAATTTATTTTTCCGGACCATATTAAGCCTTAACAGATCGTAACTTACCACACTTCTTGCTGATACCTGGTAACAAAAACTCCTCTCTCCTAAGATTGTAGCAATAAAATTGCCAACTGTCGGGACCATCCAAATTGAACTTTTTTACTAGTTCAAATAACTTCACATCACTTTGAAGCATGTGACATTTTATCTTTGACCCATGTCAGTCTTTACTGTTGTTGGTGGTGTTTTAGATATGGTGGTGCTTTTCTATTTTTATACACTACATGTTTTTCTGATTTTACCATCTGGAAAAGTATAGATTTGGGAACATTAACATCAAGCCTTTCTGCTATTTCACGTAATGACGTTCCTGCTGTTGATATTTCCTGGATAATTGCTGATTTTTGTTTTCTTGTCAACTTGAAAGGCCATCCTATTTGTTTGTTTCTTTCCATTTTACACACTAAGGTTTAATATAATTGGATATAACACAAAAAGACCTCTTCAGCTAGTTTGCAATAGCTTCAGCAGAACTTCTAGCTAGATGTAGTGCCCTGATTTGACCACACTCAAAGGCAGTTTAGAACTTTAATAATTTTAAAAATGGGTAGTGGTATCACAATAATTAATAGTGATATAAATTCTTTATTTGCAATTGTGGAGTGCTGCCATCTCTTTATAATTATCAAATTATAGGCGATAGCAATTTTTTTTTATAAATTGCAACTGGCCTTATATTTTTGCAACACCATTATTTTTGATTTTCTGAATAAAAGTTTGTTTACATTTTTATTTTTGATTGTAAATAGAATAAGTAATTCTTTTACATCTACATATATTTCTGTCACTAGTCTTTTTACATGTGATAAAAATTTAGTATTCCAAAAACTTAATGTGCCTAATAGTTTTGCAACATACCATGAACAATAATCTGTTGAAAATTCGAACTTAATTATAATGTGAGAATCTTTGAGGTTCCTGAATTGTTTTGAGGTCCCTAAATTGATGTAAAATTAAATAATTTAACAAAAAACCATTCTTTTTAGTCATGAGTCACAACAGGACTTTCGTTTTTGAGGAAAGTTCCTGTCATTTTATGAGGACAGGTGTTAATTTTAATACCAATTCAACAAGGAAGATCATTGTTTCTTCTCTCTTCAGGTGATCCAAATTGTCCCAAATAATTTGACGATTAAAATTAAATAAATAGGGCCAACTATGATAGAATAGCGCGCGAAAACACAGTCGAAGGAGATGTTCATAGAAACGTCAACTTATCCTAGTGTTTCCGGAAACTTCATTATTCCGCCTTCCGTCAAGTTCGATCTTGAGATCGACAACTAAAAGAAACAGTTCATCCCAAAATCTGAAGCCAAGAAGAAAGAAATAAAGGAATATTCGTTTTTAAATTGTTCTTTGTTATGGCATGTCACCTGTCTTCATTTCTAACCATGCCCAGTAGTTTGCATGACTATATTAAGCCAGATTGTGCAAATTGGACAAGGATACAAACGAGTACGAAGTATGAAAGTATGAAATTTTTCTTTGTAAACCTGATTATTAAAGCGAAACAAATAGGCGAATTATCGGGCTATAAGCTCGATGCCGCTATTAAAGCAGTCGATGTAGACAAATCAAGAATACTTGAGAGCAAAAGAAGTAATACAACGCATCTCGAAAACGAACTAAAAATCTAAGAGACTACAGGTAAAAAATCACATAACATCTGTTTACTCTTAACTGCATTAAAGACGATTCCACCCACATCAATTGAATCGGAAAGGGCATTCTCATCTTATCATAAAAATTTACAATAATATTTTTTATTGTTTTATTTACAAAACGAAAATACCTTCTAAGTTAGAAGTTTGATCTAACTTTATTTTTTCTTTAAACTTTCAACTCAATTCAAAGGCATTTTTGTTGTAAGCAGTTTCCAACAAACTTTAATTAATTAATAATTTTTTTCTATTTGTGAAAATTTCTACGTAATTCAAAGATAATTTTGAATACATATTTTACACAGCATTGTTAATATTATTATTTTGTAGGTTGCAGAACGTATTAAATTACTTAAAAATATGAAAAATAATTATATCATTCGATTTCAAGATTTATTTTATATCTTAAAAATAATTAGTTATATCCCATGAAACAATTCGCTTTTTTCTCGA